CTATCAATATTCTTTGATTGAAACCTTGTTAGTTTTTAGTTTTTTATTGAGGTCCCTGACATTAATGTAATAATGTAAGTGTGAACACGGAAAATTCCTGAAACGAAAGAGACAAGAACAACGTGCACAAACAAATATTTGTATTTAGATGATTTTGGGTTACAATCTCTCTATATTTTGATCCTCTGATTCGATCTCCGTAAGGTGTTGATTTATGGATGTTTCGTTGATCCAAGGGCCGTCGGGGCTTGATCTTGGATGAACTGTTTGGAAGTTTCTTCAAAGGGTCGTGGGCTTGATCTTTGAAGGTGGATTTGAGCGGATCTTCAAGGAGCCGTTGGGGCTTGATCTTGAGGATGAATGTTTCTTCAAGGGCCGTTTGAGGCTTGATCTTGAATAACGGTGATGAGCGGATCTTCAAGGGCTTTTGGGCTTGATCTTGAAGAAACAGTGATGAACAGATCTTCAAGGGCTTTTGGGCTTAATATCTTGAAGAACGGTTGGATGTGTGTGGATTTGTCGACGTTGTTGATCCAAAGGGCCGTTGGGGCTTGATCTTGGATGAACGGATGATGAACGATGGTGCTTTCTTCAAGGACCGTCGGGGCTTGATCTTGAATTGGTGGATGATTGTTGATCCAAAGGGCCGTTGGGGCTTGATCTTGGATGAACGATGAACGAAGAACGAAGAGAGCTTTCTTGATTCTTCGGGAACCTGGATGCTTGAGAGCTTCGGAGTTTCAGAGCTTCAGAGCTTCAAGGTGTAATATGAATTCGTCCCCTCAAATGAATGAAATGGGCTTGTATTTATAGAATTTTCCAAGGCCTAATTTTGAATATAATATCCCAGATGAAATAAGTCGTTTCTGCCAGGTCAATTTTCCAACTCATTTCAATTTTCGTTTAGTCACACGTTACGTGTAAAATTTATGTAATACATGAGCGTTGACACTTTGATTTATCGGTCAACATTTATTTACCGAAATTTCGATGTCTACAAATGCCCCCACTTCAAGGCACGTCGTATACATGTGCTTGTCACGTGTAGGAGATGCATTTTGAAGTCCCTTACTGTAGATGTCGATCCAAGGGCCGTCGATGCTTGATCTTGAATTGGGCTGGAGATTTCTTCAAGGGCCGTTGAGGCTTGATCTTGAATTGGGCTTGAGATTTCTTCAAGGGCCGTTAAGGCTTGTTCTTGAACTTTCGTTTGAAATTTCTTCAAGGGCCGTTGAGGCTTGTTCTTGAACTTTTATTTGAAATTTCTTCAAGGACCGTCGAGGCTTGATCTTGAAGGTTGAAATTGGACCACAAGGAGCTTCATGTGGTAGATGATCTTTGACTTTGGTAGTGGGTGAATCGGCACGTATTTTGTTGCGCTTGTTGACTTTCCACAGCTTTGATCTTGAACTGGGTTGAAGGATTTTCTGGATTCCTCCAATTGTTGATTTTCCACAGCTTATTCTTGAACTAGGTTTTGATTCAAGGGTGGTAGACACTTAATCTTGAATCGGACTTGTGATTTCTTCCAGTGCCGTCGAGGCTTGATTTTGAATTTGGCTGGAAGCTTCTTCAAGGGCCGTTGGGGCTTGATTCTTGAAGGCTGACTCGAACATATTGTAAGCAGGCACGAGGTGAAGGTGACGACTTGTTGCTTTGTTCAATCTTTCTAATTCATACCTGAGCAGTTTGGTCAGCGGTATGATCTTCAAGATTGATGGGCTCTTCTTCCAGTTGGTGACTTGATCTTTAAGGATTTGATTCAAGGGTGGTGAATCGACACATGCAGCTCATAACGCCTAGTAAGCCGACCCAAGAATTTGAGGGTCAAAACGAATTCACCGTCCAGAATGATTGCAACCCTGATGATATGAGATACTTTTGATTTTGAAGAATTAACGGATGACTCAGCACGTGCTTTGTTGCACTTGTCTCCACATGCTTCAAGGTATCATTTTCATTTCCTTTATCTGTTCCTCAGGCAGATGTGGCATCTTCTCGAGTTCTTCATCTCAGACTCCTTCTGCTGAGTTGACTGTGCATGCTGCATTCTTCTCTGCTTGTTTCTTCAGGCAGATGTGGCAGCTTCTCGAGTTCCTCAGTTCGGACTCTTTCTGCTGAGTTGACTGTGCAGACCGCATTCTTCTCTGCTTGTTCCTTCTGCACGTTGTCTCCACATGCTGCAAGGTATCATTTTCACTTGCCTTATCTGTTCTTCAGGCAGATGTGGTAGCTTCTTTGGAAGTACAGCAGCAGTGGGAGACGAGTACGCGAGAGCAGTGCTAGGTAGACAATCAGGGAAGGGTTCCAAGCAATCGGTTCCTTACCCGAGTTTGAGTGGAAGTTCCGGCATATTGTTTTCTTTATCCTTGTCTTTGTAGGTAGGAACAAGGACAAAGGAAAGGACAGGGAGAACGCATGATATGAGATACTCTTGCTTTCTACCCTGGTGATATGAGATACTTTTGCTTTGGAGTCATTAGCTTGCAGAGGTACCCCAAGGAATAAGGAACACTGAATGACTCGAGAGGTTTCGTTGGGAAAGCATTTTTTTTGGAGATGAAGAAAGGCTCTGTATGTCTGCCTTGCTATGGAAGGTGAAGGTGGACAGTTATAGGAGGTCCCTTAATACTTGTAGAGGTAGTATTCTTTCACTTGTGTCGGCAACTAACGCGTGATTGAACAGTAAACTTTCACGTGCTTTCTCCTTCACCGAAAATCTTCGACAAATTCCCCGTGATTTGCACAAAGTTGAGTGTGCATATGACAGGTGATGACGCGGTTGAAAAAGACTGGTGCCTCTTCGATATCTGGGATCGGCGCTTCGACAAATTACCCGTGATTTCCGCAAAGCTGAGTTTGCGTGTGATGGGTGCCGACGCGTCTGGAAAAGCAAGATGCTTCTCCGATTTCCGAGCTTGCCTCTTCGATTTTGAATGGCCTCTTCGAATTCTGAGCTCGCCTCTTCGATCTCTGAAATCCCGTCGAGTGCTAATTTTTTTATAGAGGCATGCAATTCGTTTCAAAGCACACTTGAATTTTTTGCTTGTGAAAACTCCCTTCTTGCACTTCTAAGATCTTGATTTGTCCGTTTTCTTCTTCCTTCAATACTTTGAAAATGTCTGGACCCTCCGACCGTCGTTTTGACTTGAATCTTGGTGAAGAGGCAGTCCCTTCTTCTCCAGACAACATATGGCGCCAATCCTTCATATCCCCTACTGGTCCTCTTACCGTTGGGGATTCAGTGGTGAAGAATGATATGACCGCTGCGGTGGTGGCCCGAAACCTTGTCATTCCCAGAGATAACAGACTACTTTCCAAACGGTCTGATGAGTTGGCTGTTAAGGATTCTCTGGCTCTCAGTGTGCAGTGTGCGGGTTCTGTGTCTAATATGGCCCAACGCCTATTTGCTCGAACCCGTCAAGTTGAATCATTGGCGGCGGAAGTGATGAGTCTCAAACAGGAGATTAGAAGGCTCAAGCAGGAGAATAAACAGTTGCATAAGCTCGCACATAGCTATGCGACAAACATGAAGAGGAAGATTGACCAGATGCAAGAATCTGATGGTCAGATTTTACTTGATCATCAGAGGTTTGTGGGTTTGTTCCAGCAGCATTTGCCTTCGTCTTCTGGGGCTGTACCGCGTAATGAAGCTCCAGATGATCAACCTCCGGCTCCTCTTCTTCCTGGAGTTTCGCCGAGTGATAAGGCGCCACCCGAGCCACCTTTGTGAAAGCTCCCTCCTGTTTTTTTTTTTTAATTTTTTTTATTTTTTTTATTTTTTTTTAACTGATGTAAAATGTACGTTTATGTAACTTTTTTTTTTCTTTTTTTTTTAGAGAAATCAATAAACGAGCTTTATTTCATTCAAGATGTACATATATACATATTTTTTTTTTTTTTTACATAGTGCTTCCGGTGCCATGTACATATATATAATATATACCCACACAATGTACATACACACACACACCCACCCACCTTTTTCTTTTGCTTTTCGGTGGTGTTCACATCCACCATCATAACTTAAATGATGGCCACTAATGCTTGCAATGTCTGACACAACTCCACAAATCATATTTTATATATAACAAATATATACACACATGTCACCACACCTCTTTGCCGTCCACTATCCCCAAATTTTCCTTTATGTTTTTATATATATATATATTTTTCTTTTTCAGGATGGTGCCTGATGCACCACCTTTGCTTTTCCCTTTCTTTTTTTATATTGTAATTTTATATGCACACATACATACATACGTACATATATATATATATATATATATATATATATATATATATATATATATATATATATATATATAGGGTGCAGGATAGGAGTTTGGAGGAGGAAGAAGGAGGAGCACGGAGGAGGAAGAAGGAGGAGCACAGAGGAACTTGCAAGGAAGGATGAAATCGAGGGGGCCAGGCGCTGCGGTGGAAAGCTGAGGGCATAGGCGAAAAAGAATATCTCTTCTTTGTTATAATCAAAGCTCTCCAGGAGCTTCCACGAGCATGAACTCCCCAGACGGACATCAAAGCTCTCGACCTGTTTCCCGGATGCAACATATATCATATTTTCATTTCCCGGCCTGAAACGTAAGGATAAAATGGGTTCCTCTCCTACCTCCATGATATCAACCGCATCTTTGCATCGCCTATCGAACCAGCAAACGCAGCCATCCTCGCCGGAGGTGGCGATGAGGCCGGGTGTAGCGGCTGAGGCGATGCAGCACGTGGCGGTGGCAAATAGACCCTGGTCTCGTCGACGTGTGGCTGGTTTGGAGACCCACTTGCTCCGGGTGTGCACACCATGTGTAGAGGTGGGGTTTGGGTGATCTTGTACGCTCGATCGTTGAAGGTCTTGTCGGTGTCAACAAAGAAGAAGCCGAACCTGGTGCAGTTTTGGGGACTTGAGCTTACGAGTGAAGACCTGAGATGAGTGGGCTTGAGGGGTGTACGGACTGAGAGAGAACCGGGCCTGGTTGCTGGGCTTAAAGAGTGAGGGATCGAAGACTGGACCTGCAGGCATTAGATTGAGGAGATGAGGACGACGAAGCGGCTTGGAGCATATTGAAGGTACCCTGCACGGCGGGCAACACCAGCTCGGCCTGGGGGTCAGTGAAGATGGCGGTGCTGAGACCCACGTAGCCCTTCAGAATCCCTGAAACGGGTCCCCTGTTTCGCCCGAAGTTTCGGATGCAGGTGACAAGTATCGCCGTGTTCATCCACATCGTGCTGTTGCCGCCCATGCAGAGAAATATACACATCTGCCAGTAGGAGAGGGGTTTGATCCTTTCACTGACGACGAGCCACTGGGCGCCGTAGCCGACCAGGCCCTCGACGGAGCCGATGATGAGGATAACCCAGGTGGGTAGTTTGTCAGAGGCGAGGCCGGCGAGGAGGCCGAAGGCTTTGCCGACGTCTTTGGCGACGGAGAGGTTGTTGAGTTCGAGCTGGGTGAGGCTCACGAGGGTTTTGAGGGAGGAAAGATTCACGAGGGCGGTAGTGCTGTTGCGCCGTCATCGAGGTTGCACAGGCGTGAGGTTAGGTCGGAGTCTCCTCGCTGGGCAGAAAGAAATGGAGAGCTGCATATAGGAGTTGGTTCCAGGTATCAGGCAACCTGGGCAGGCACCAGTGGCTGCAGTTATTGCCCGAATGATCGCCACTATAAGTTGAGGGATGAGCATCATTTCTCAACTGCGAGAGCGTTGTAATGTCGAGCAAGTAAACCGGGTTCTTAATCGTGCTTAGCACCTTGTAGACAACAACAGCAGATGGAGGTGCCCCTGCTGGGTAGGTTGATCCTGACAACGGTCCAAGTTCTCCTGAGCAAGTCTTCTTTGGCGAATTACATTCTTTTCCCTGATAATGTGTTGGAGAAATGCCCTGGAAGAAGACTTTGGTTCTTGAAGTATCAACATTTGAATCAACCCATCTAGCCCATGTGGAAAGCCCCTTGTAATATGCTGTCAAACGATCCATGTCTTTGTACGGTTTTGTCCCATCACGAAAATAATCAAATGGCTGAGACTTGCCGGTGTGGGTCCACCAATGCCAAGAGTTGAAGATCAGGACGTCCATCCCTTTCCATGCATTTCCGGTGTTGATGGAGTTTAGGTTTAGCAGCAGAGCACCAACCGTCGAACCCTAGACCATGATGTTTCATGCAAACGCACTCAACCATCAGGCTGGGAAGAGGGTCGGTGAAGTCATGGGCAAGGGAGATGACGGATTGGGCTTGGAGGCTGCCACTTGGGCCTGGATGGCCTCCTTTTGAGAGGCTTGCTGCTGATGGATATACATACATATATATATATATATATATATTTTTTTTTTTGTACAAAGAAATTGTAATAGCATCAAAACTTTTGATAAAATCTTTATTCCTTATTTTGGTGTGACTGAACTTGAAATTGAATATTCAAGCTGCCTACGTACCCTTCCAAAGAAAGAGATCAAGTCAAAACGTAGTTCAAATACATACATATTTTTTTGGAATTTTCTTTTTGTGCCGTTTGCAGTTTTAACTCATGCAGGCAATGAGTGTTGGTGTCGTTTGCAGTTTCAACTCGTGCAGACAATGAGCATTGGTGTTGCCTTTTATGCTCGTGCAGACCAGGAGCGTTGTGCCATGCAGTTTAGGCTCGTGCGGACAAAGAGCTTCGGTTCGTGCAGTTTAGGCTCGTGCGAACAAGGAGCATTGGTTCGTCAAGCAATCTGAGATAGTCGTTCCTCGCAATCTTCATAGCAAGGAGCCTTGACTGAGTAGTTGAAGAAGTCTTCTGGGAAGATGTCACGCATCGTGATGGGGATGGATGATCTTCGTGTCAAAGTTTCATTATCTCCAACACTTTCACATTGTTCTGGAGGTGAACAAGAGCTGTTTTGCCCCCTTTCCCATTGGTGAGCTTGTGGAGAAGACATATGCTTCTTGTGCAATTTCTTCGGAGTGACATAAGTCCATCCTTCAACTTCACTCGGCTTGACTGGCATGTTTTTTGAGCATGCCCCCAGCGATTGAGGTGAAAATTTTGAGTTGACAGAGCCGGAAGTGACGTCTTCTTCCAGGATTTCGTCTTCTTTGTCTTCTTGGGCCTTCTCTTCAGTGCGGTCCTCTTGGGTTTGTTGCCGTGAAGATTGGCCGGTGTAGATGATGGTGCGCCTCCTTACCTTAAGTGGTCCTTTTATGTCGACTTCCAAAGTTGCTTGGCGCTTCATCCTTGAAAGAATCAAGCTTTGAACATCGTCTTTTCCTGCTAGACTGTCGAGCTTCTCTCCCTTTGGCGTTGTCTTCCTGTTTCTAGAAGGCTTCTTAGTTTCTTCAAATCTGTCCAAAGCCGACCGTTGCGGAGGAGATCTAGCTGTGCCGCTTTGTTTCTTGGGTTTTGATAACCTTTCAAAGACTGATCTTTGCGGTGTTGGCGTCTCAAGCCTTTTGAAGACGGAAGTTTGGTCTCGACCACTGATGCGATCAAGTGCTGCAATTCTAGGTTTTGAATAATTCAGCCTTTCGAAGACTGAAGTTCGAGGGGTGGGTTTAGGCTCCTCTTTTGGCCTTATGGCTTGTGGTCTTGGCTTCCTCGTTTTTTTGTAGGTCACCGATGTCCACCATTTCTTATCACTAGTAGATGCATCTTGGTTGCTTGCCCCCGGTGATGGTTGTGTAGGAGGTGCCATGTGACTTGAACATTGACGGGAATGGTCATGCATGCTTCGGAGAGGCACAAGATCGAGTGATTCAAACACGATAGTAGTAGTGTGTGCCGCAACCGTGTCTTCGAGGTCAAGCTCGATTTCCCCTTGCTGTGCTAGCTTCAGGATGAGATCTTTCAGTACGAAGCACTTTTCCGTTGGATGACTGATGAAGCGGTGGAATTTACAGTATCTTGGGTTGTCGGTACGATTCATCTCTTCCGACCGTCTGCACTTAGGCAAACTGATCACCTTCTTGTCCAACAGGTCATCCAGCATGGCAACTACATCAGAGTCGGGGAATGGATAAATCTTCTCCTCAAGCTCCTTCAAAGTGCGTCTACGCATCTCTTGATCACGAAAAGCTTCGGTTTGAATCGCCTTGCCTCGTGTGGAGATTTTGACGGGAGCTGTGTTAACCGTCATCGCTTCCTTGATGGGTTTCCATGCAGCCTTTTCCACCTTTGTCCCAAGAACTTTATCGTTCTTGTAGTTGGCGATCGGTTCTTTCTTCCCATAATGGGCGATGCTCAACTCCATGTCATGGGCGCGAGTGGCCAATTCCTCGAAGGTCCGTGGTTTAATGCCTTGAAGGATGTATTGCAAACCCATTGCATGCCTTGGATGCACATCTCGATTGAAGAGGTTTCTGAGAGCCTGTCTTTACAGTCGAGGCTTAGAGTGCGCCATCTGTTGATGTAGTCAATGACTGGCTCGTCCTTCCACTGTTTTGTGCTCGTTAGTTCTAGCATGCTCACAGTGCGGCGGGTGCTGTAGAAGCGGTTGAGGAATTCCCGCTCTAATTGTTCCCAGCTGTTGATGGACTCAGGCTCTAGGTCTGTGTACCACTCAAAGGCGTTTCCTTTCAGCGAGCGCACAAACTGCTTGGCGAGGTAATCCCCTTCGGTTCCTGCGTTGTTGCAAGTTTCAACGAAGTGGGCAACGTGCTGTTTCGGGTTTCCCTTTCCATCAAATTGCATGAACTTTGGTGGTTGATAACCCCTCGGCATCCTTAAGGCGTCGATCTTCTTTGAATACGACTTTGAGTACAACCCGAAGGTATTTGAGCTCCCTTCGTACTATGCCTTGATGGTGTTGGTGATCATCTCTTGCAGCTGCTGGATAGAAAGAGATCCCATGAGTGCCGCTGCTTGGTCTGGCTCCGGCTTCGCATCGTTTTTCTCCACCTGAGGCTCATCTTCTTCGTCATCTCTTCTCTTTAGTGGATCATTCTCTGGGTCGGGTTTATCGCCGTCCTGCGCCTCTAGTCGATTGACGAGTGCTGCAATTTGCAAGTCTTTTTCTTCCACAGTTCGGGTTAGCCTTGCGATTGCTTCATTCATTTGAGCCAGTTGTTCTTCAACGGAGGTAACGCCGATAGTCATGACTTGTGCGACCAATAGACGTGACTTTCCTTTAGACATACAGGATGCTGATGAAGAACGTCGTTGGCTGCTTTGGGATGTCATCTTGTGTGCCCCAACATCGTGCTTCGGTGCCCCCAGCGAGGTCAGGTTGATGACATACTACTCACACCTTGAATGCTCCCCTTGCTCTTTTAGCGGCACCAATTTTGAAGTGGCATGTTGAGGAGCGGTTGTGGCGCCAATGGATTGTCCGTTTGCGGCAGAAGTGCTTAGGATCCTTCCCTCAGTGGTTGCAAGAACGACTTGTCCCTTGCTTGATGCCATTGACTTTGAGGTGTGCTTGGATTCCTTGAACGGAGAAAGAGATGAGAGGTAGAGATTGTCCCACTGGGCGTGCCAATTTGTGAACACGGAAAATTCCTGAAACTAAAGAGACAAGAACAACGTGCACAAACAAATATTTGTATTTAGATAATTTTGGGTTACAATCTCTCTCTATTTTGATCCTCTGATTCGATCTCCGTAAGGTGTTGATTTATGGATGTTTCGTTGATCCAAGGGCCGTCGGGGCTTGATCTTGGATGAACTGTTTGGAAGTTTCTTCAAAGGGCCGTGGGCTTGATCTTTGAAGGTGGATTTGAGCGGATCTTCAAGGAGCCGTTGGGGCTTGATCTTGAGGATGAATGTTTCTTCAAGGGCCGTTTGAGGCTTGATCTTGAATAACGGTGATGAGCGGATCTTCAAGGGCTTTTGGGCTTGATCTTGAAGAAACAGTGATGAACAGATCTTCAAGGGCTTTTGGGCTTAATCTTGAAGAACGGTTGGATGTGTGTGGATTTGTCGACGTTGTTGATCCAAAGGGCCGTTGGGGCTTGATCTTGGATGAACGGATGATGAACGATGGTGCTTTCTTCAAGGGCCGTCGGGGCTTGATCTTGAATTGGTGGATGATTGTTGATCCAAAGGGCCGTTGGGGCTTGATCTTGGATGAACGATGAACGAAGAACGAAGAGAGCTTTCTTGATTCTTCGGGAACCTGGATGCTTGAGAGCTTCGGAGTTTCAGAGCTTCAGAGCTTCAAGGTGTAATATGAATTCGTCCCCTCAAATGAATGAAATGGGCTTGTATTTATAGAATTTTTCAAGGCCTAATTTTGAATATAATATCCCAGATGAAATAAGTCGTTTCTGCCAGGTGTTGACACGTGTCCTATTTGATGACTTTTCCAACTCATTTCAATTTTCGTTTAGTCACACGCTACGTGTAAAATTTATGTAATACATGAGCGTTGACACTTTGATTTATCGGTCAACATTTATTTACCGAAATTTCGATGTCTACAGTAAGTTACTATATTTTTTAAATTAAAAATTAAAAATTGAAATTTGTAATTGTTTATATTAATGAGATTGTAAATAAAACCCCTAATTTATGGGATTAAAATAATAAAATATAAATTATACTCTCTATTATATTGTGTGTTTGTTATATATATATATACATATATGTATGGGTACATTAACCAAAATTAACAAAAAAAGTTATTGTAGCAAAACATGGATACATTCTCAAATCAACGAAAAAGAATGTATCCATATAAGTTTAAACATGAATTAAAAATTTTGAATGAATTTTATATTAAAAAAAAAAGGTACATTTTACATATAACAAATTGATATATTTGAGAATGGGTACATTTAAGATTAAAAAAATTGAAAAATTATATGAATGGGTACATTTAAGATTAAAAAATTGAGAATCTTTTTATGTATAAAAAAAAACTAATAGGTACAAACTTAATTTAATTTAATTTTTTATTATTTTGAAAATGTTTGAATTGAAATTTAATTAGAAGTTTAATAGAGGTGTGAGTATTAAACCCTAAATTAATTACTAATTTTTATATTAAAAAAATTATATAATAAACATGTAAATTCATTATCACATTATTGCTAGGGACTTGAATCAAAATTTAAGAACTAATAAGGTCTTAGTCAATGAACAATAAGAACTAAGGACCGGATACTAATTTTTCCTATTAAGATTGGGTAATATGGATTAAAGGGTGAGGTAGAGTGACAAAGTTGA